AGAACGCAGCAAAGTCTGATACTTTCTGAGAGGGAGGTAACCCAAGGTTTCGTCACAACCTTTAGAGATGGTCTGCAAATCTGCATTTCCTGTTTCCTTTTCCTTCTGCTACCCAGTTTGCCTTGGTTCTCACACCATCCACACCTTTTCATTCTTTCTCTTCAGGCAATGAAGTTTATCAAAAGTTATAAAATGAAATTATTGGACAGGACAGGAATTCAATGTTATATTACAATAGCCACTGTGTGTGTAGGAAAACGCATTGGATTCATCCAATCCACAATTTGCTTTGGCTATATTATGAAAGGTAGAAGTAGCAAAGTAGCAAAGAATCTTATGGTAAGTTGCACAACAGTATCCCACTATCTTATGCTTATCAGTTCACCACCTACCCTGGATTTCAAGTCAATAATTAACCCTCAACACTAAACTTATAATCTGATATATTACAGTAGTCCAACAGACCAGCTTGCTTGCTAGGGATACATACAATTTCAACAATGTTTATTTAATATCTGTCATTCAATTAAGGTCATACATGTAATCTATATTAGGCAAGGCCTATCACTGTAAAGGCTCTAAATTCAATTTCCATAATTTTGATACCTGGAGTAAAGATTAGAGAAGCAACAATAAAGTCAACAAAACCCATTCTGCTTATGCAGGACAAAGCGCACAAATCAAGAAATACTAGAACAGATTACTTTCCTCTCACCAACTAGCAAGTTCTTTAAATGTGCTGACCAAGAGGGGGGAAAGCACACCTTGTACAGCCTGTCAAACACTGAGTAAGTAGTTAAGTTACAAACACTTATTTAAAGCTATTACAGCCTTCAAGGCTTCACCTGATTTGCCCTCTGAAGTCTGTAGTTTCTCATACCACATGCACAGAAGTAACTACAAGCCCCCTGGTTATGTTCCCCCCTTTACTGCATACCAAGGGAACCTTTCCTCAGTTCATCTGTTGAGACCACGATTTTCTCTTCACATCAATTTCCCTCTGGGTTCTTTTATAATTTACAAGTGGATCAGTTGATGAAAGAGTATCAATAGAAATAGCAGGGAAAAAGAAAATCTTAAGCCTAAGCTTTTAGCCTAACAAATGATGCATTCATTGCCAAAGCACATGCACAACACCAATGCCATCTCTACTGCTTTCTAGATGCCTCTTTACATCTTACAGACTATTAGATTTTTACCAGGTGAAAGCTTGTACCCCACTGAATTTTAAGTTTTCTACAATGCCTCTTTTCTTCCAAAGGAAAAAGCAAAGCAGAGCAGGAACATCACCTTGATGAAGCACAGCAAGACCCAGAGAACTCTCAACCATCACTTTTCACTTCCTTCCTATCTTCTCCAGCAGAGCTGCCCATGAATCATCAAGTCTTGGTCAGCCTATTCTGCACAAAGCCTTAGAAAGCCAGAGGAGTAATTCACAAGCTGCAGAGAATAGAGTACTTTTATTGCTTTGACATTTGAGAATCAAAAACTTCAGCAACACAGACTGGGAAAGCTAATCTGCTACAGATAGATTTTAAAAAAAAAACAAACCAACCAAACAAACAAAACCCACAAAAAACCAAACAAACCCAAACAAACAAACCACCCACACACAACACCCCATACCTCCACAAAACCCAAAAACTTTCTGGGTATATAAAAAAATATATACCCAGAAAAAATTGCATTGAAGTTTATACCATTACAAAGTATGAAAGACATTACAAGGCAGACACAAATTGCTTTTTATTCCTACTTTCCTGTTACAGTTTCTCTGCCACAAGAACTGTGGTCCTTAAAAAAAAAAAACAAACAAAAAAAAACCAAAAAAAACAAACCACAACCTTATCCTTATTTTTCTGGTAAACATAACTTATATGCTTTTGCATGACCAGAAACACCAGTTTGGAGCCATCATACCAAAATTATGTTTCTTTGTGCCAGAAGGAAGCAAGTGTTAGCTTCCAACCACTCCAATAAGGTGGTAAAACAGTTGATTTAGGGATTTTAAGGCTTTATGCCATTGTTTCTCTGATACAAATGTGTCTTATCTTGCCCTAACTAGTAACACTCACTGGAAATACCAGAAGTAATGCCACAAAAAACAAATTCCCTACAAACACCAAAACACAGCACAAGCCATTTCTAGCCTTTATTCTCCTGCTGCTCCTTCAACTAGTTGCCATCTCTATGGAAATTTATGGAATACCAAGTGATAAAACATCTACCCACTCACCTCAACAACATCTGTGCATTGTGTTTGCATTAAACACTAACAGACATGACTGTAAGCACCATGTGTCAGACCTATCATGGAATAACATTAACAGAATGAATGCCAGAAAAGGTTCCAGAGGCTCTTTGACAAAACCCTGGATTTCTTACAGTTCCTGGCAGGCAACCCACTCAGCCTAGGAAAGAGAATCAAGATAAACTTAGAAAACAGAATAAAGCAGCAGCATAGAAGAATCTTGACTTTCTTAGCACATCTGTTCTTTTGAACAAGCAAGGACTGGATAGACAAACCTTAGTTTGGAAAAAAGATGCAGAAAAAATACAAAAGTCACCACAGTTTACTACTGTCCCATTGCTTTTCTTCACACAGACTAAACATGGCTTGTACTAGACAAATGTCATGAAGCATTTAAAGAAAACCCATCTGTGGAGAAACTACGGTGGCATTTTTACAGTTATTTAAACAAGCAGTTACATACATGCCCTGCTGACAGGAGTCAACACCACCAAGAACAGCCTCTGAAACTGATGACCTACAGTGATCAGTGGAGCCAAAAATCTGCAGTTCAATCAGCCTCCTCTTGGTAAAGTCCACAAGTTGCACAAGTGTGATGTCAAACTTTGTACTTCAGTCACACCCAGCACCCTCTGCAGGGCTTAGCCAAGCCTACCTAGAAGCCGTCTCTAACCTTTCCAAAAGTGAAGACTGTTGTTCTAAAACCAGGCTTACATTAGAAATGCTTGTCAATGTATTAGCAAACACTACTGGTGAGCAACATGATTTTGCTGCCAAAGTCCTCAGTGGAGATGCCATTACACAGAGGTATTCATCACTGCAGGTTTTGTCTGGGTTGGACTGGGCACCAGCAACAATTTGCATTATTGTATTTGTAAGCATGCTCTTGCACCTATAAACTGTACTCACTGCTATATTGGCAACATCTTTCTGTGGACTTTCTACTTCAATACCTCCCTTTTTTTGTTTCCTTGTCAAAGAATGCAATGATTTTCCAACTTACATCCCAGAGCTGACTACGCATTTTTGAGAAATCACTGTTAAAATTGAACAACAATAACTGACAGGTAACGGGTTTGCAGCAAACTACACTTATCTCCACTGCATAAGGACCAACAAGCTGATCAGAGGGATATCTGGGGGAAAAAAAAATAAAATCTTAGCTTGACAGACTTGGCATTTCCTACCTCTGCAGTGCTTCTGTCAGAAGTCATTATGGTCAAAGTGGTTCACAATGACACTTAATGGACATAAATGCCACTCACAGCTACCTCCATTTTAAGTTGGAAACCACTCAGAGTGAACCACAACATTGCTGAAAGCTCAATCTGATGTGTACTTTGAGGGCAATACATTATTTAAGATATTAGGGAAGGTCGTGTCTTACTTCTTGTCCTGCAACTCAAAGGTTCACATCTCAGATGAAGTATTTGCTTCTGCTGTTAAAGAAAGTGTGTTTATGCAGTCATTTATACTTCTTACTGCCAGGCAAAAAGCCAAATCACTTGGCCAAAATACAGCATGGCTGATAGTCCCACTCAAAGACATGGCTTGTTATCTTATAATACTCAGTCCATAACTTCATGGTCCAGAAGAGATCCTATTCAGAAGGCAGAGACACTTTAATCCAGTCATTGTTATTGTGCAGTAACAACATTCCTGGTTTACTGGCTGTGCTAAAATAGTTGACATCCAAGTCAGGTCCAAACTTGATAAATTTTCAAGTGAGAATATTCATTAGTTCTATTTAGGTACCTAATCTTTTTAGTAAAGCTTTTCACATCCTTCCAGAATTCACAGGTTGTAGCTGAAAGACACACATCTCCACACACAAAATGAAAGTGCCCTTAATTTCACTCATTTGGAACCTGCAGACACCTTCTACCAGTTAAAGGTGTAAAAGACTAGATTAACTTCTGCACTATGAACACTACTTTTTCATCCTGTTATCAGTTCATGGGAACAGCAGCAGATTGCTTTCCTCAATTGAAAACGTGTATTTTTGAACAGTCAGATTTATAGACTGATTTATTGATTTCACCGCAATTAAGAACTTTATCATCATCAAGGAAAATTAAGCAGTTTATGTTTAAACAATCCATGTTTGAAATCTGTACCAGGAGCCTTGCAGAAGAGGAGCTGGTGACATCTGCTGTGTTTGGCACTTAGGGATTGAGGAGGCTGAAGGTTAGAACCTGAGCAGCCAGTCCCTGCCTGGGAAGTGGCTGGAGGGCCAGTCTGAGGACAAAATGAATTTTAAATTAGCTTATGTGACATCTTCAGTCTTATGTGCCATGCTCAGACCTGTCTCTGGAAAAAAATACCTTCAAATCAGAGAAAAGACAAGTTCACACTGCAAATCAGCATTCATTGCATGGCAAATTCTGGGGACAAAGGGCAGAATTTATATACAAGTAACACAGCTAAATTTCCCCACATAATGTCAGTACATGGCAATATTACTCCACAGATTAAGTCTGGTAGTTAAACTTCTCCCCAAGTCTTACCCTCCTGCAAACTTGAGCTTTTCAACCCTGGTCTACCTCAGCAACATGAAAAAAACACCATATTTAATACAATACATTTTTAGACACTGATATAATCCAAGGCCCCTTTCTCAAAAGAAATAAATAAAAAACAGCATCATGCCACAGTTAATATTGTTTTGAACTTTTGAGGAAAGTTCTACACAAACCTACCATCAACTATGTGGCATCTAAAACTGAGGGCACAGGAGGGGGATGAAGGGGTGCTCTTCAGCTTTGAGATGTTAGTTCACAGTGTTTAAGGGAAGTAATAAATAATCTGATTTATGAACTCATACATTTTGTTTTTTTAGCACAAGTAAGTAGCAACCAGAAAAAGCTTTTCTGTCCAGAATTTTTTGATGATACCAAGAAAATGCAAAGAAATTCAGCAAATAAATCTAAATGCTAACATGTCTTATTTATAATTTTTTGTCTTAAAGAACTAATCACTATAATCACATTCAAATTACACTGCAATAGCAAGCAAATTTTTTAATAGTAGTGCTGCTATTTAAAGAAAAGACTGTTAAGAACCTATTTTTTCCCCCTTAAATGCCTTCCAATTGTTGTAAACAGGATTAAAATAGAGCATCAATAC